GCCTACAGGAGAGATTTTAGTAGGGATTTTTTTTTATTTCTATTTTTTTTTAATCATGAAGAGGGTGAAAGACTATATCAGAAAAATGTCAGGTAGGGATCATCTTTCCTGAGTATACTCTCTTCTCCATTTCCTGCTTCACTTGCAATTAATTTTCTTTTGCTTTCCTAATGCACAATGGGATACACAGTTTTTTTGTCTTTCCGGAGTGCCTCTATTTTCAGATGCTATCAAAGGTCCATTGTATGTGATCTGCATTCACACATGCACTGTTACATCCACGTGGCATCCTGTAGTGGTGTACAGATACCCCTGAGGCAAATTACTTACCATGCAGCTGAGGTGAGAGATAAAACTAGTACTTTTCTTCATGCTAAAGGAGAGCTGTGGTCCAGAGGTGATGGATAACCTGACCGAAGTCATGCAGCAGGGCTGGGATGTGAGCTGCAGGTTCTCATATGGACTCATCTTCAGGAGTTTAGTTGGGAAACATGCAGGCTGCTACTTTCAGAATCTCAGCTAAATAAACCTGAATTTTTAAACTGGGAAAACAGGCCTTGCTTTTGCTTTTGGTGACTATGTTTTGTTGTTGTTTTTTTTTTCCTCTTCTCCTTTGCTACATTTTAAGGTGTGCTGGATGTAATAAACTTCCACTTCTCATCCAAATTTCCTGTGGACCATTCCTGGAAAGGAAAACTAATTCACAATGGCTTGAGCTTCTCAAGGTAGTGAAAAGTTGTAATGGAGACTACTGTGCTCAAAGCAAAGGCTCAAGGCAGCTTTCACCTAACTCTGTTTTAAAACTACCTACCATTTTTTAGTAGTGTGTGCTCTTCTGCTAGGCACCTAAAAAAAATATACAAGAGTACAACTGAATACAGATGGGCTAAGCTACAGATCTATGAAACTGTTACATTTTAAGCCTCAGTTAAGAGTTTTATTTTCTTCTGCTGTCTTACAAAATATATTTTCTTCTAGTTGGTCAAAGTGGGATTAGTAGATGTCAAACCTGGACACACTGCTGCTTGAGCTGCACATTGTTCACCTCCTTTATGGTACAGCTAACAGGGAGCCAGGCAGCTGTGAACACAGAAAGCTTCCACAGTCTTTTCTAAGTTTCTGGATGGTGCAACCCATTTACAGTGCCACTGTAAGCAGCCCAGCCTGTGAAGTCCAGGCAGGCAAGCCTGTTTTAAGCCAAGATTTTTATGTTACTATTCCTCCTTCCCAACAGAGTGTGCCCACTGATTCTCCAGCTCCCTGCTGCTGTTGGCCGAAAGGCTCTCCATCTCCTTTTGGTTGAGGCTTTTTAATGCTTGCTCCAAGATTGTTAGCTTCCTAATAGCAGCCAGCATGTTCTGTTTTTCCTAATATTTAAGTCTTGTTTGCTCTGGTAATATCGAGATGGTCCCACTTAGAATAGGCGGCTGCTGAAGTTGCATTGGCTAGTGCATTTTTACAAAGCAGCCCACACTCAGCAGGCATCACAGAAGCTAACCAGAACCTTTCATAAATGCATGACTTAAACCTGTAACCACTCAGGCTTGAACACCAAGTCTTGTTTTTCCCAATCTGTGATCTGTCTTTCCTCATGAGCTACCCATGGTCAGGAAGAGGTAACTCCAGCAAGTTGCTGCTCTATCCTACTGACTGCTGATGCCAATCTGAAGACTGGGAGCTCTGAAAAGGCTTGCCTAGAAACCTGACTGTGTAAGATGATCTCTGTTCCACGTCATCTAATGACATGAGTCACTCTTCAAATTGCCAAAGCACCTTCATCTTGGGCACATTGCAAACAGTAACAAACAGAAGCTCCTGCTGATCTATGGCAATAGAATCATAGAATCCTCAGAGTTAGATTTTAAAGGTCATCTAGTGCAACTCCCCTGCAATGAACAGAGACTTGCACGGCTAAATCAGGTTGCCCAGGGCATAGGCATCATTACTCCTATTGTGGAGCCCAAAGCAGTGATAGGTGGAACAAATTCATAGAATCATAGAATCATTAAGGTTGGAAAAGACCACTAGTATCATCTAGTCTAACCATAAATTGATCTTGTCAAGAAAAGAGTCTTAGGCAGAGTTGGTAACAGAAATAACAGCATCTGGTTCTTCATCATATTCTCATACACAACTCATACATTCTCTTCCACTGGGAGACTTTTATCCATGCAGGTCTTATTTTACATAGATTACTGTGAGTCTGACATCAGTCAAAAAATCCCTGGTGTCCACTCACAAATTTAGGAGTCATTTATATCTATAGTAATAAAAGCTGTATGCTGTTTATTTAGCAGAGCTGTTCTAACGTGCTGTTTGTTGTTTAGACAGTCTGCATCTTCTTCATATTGTAATTATATTAAAAAGAATTCTTTCCTGAAATAAAGAGGTAATCATTCACAAGAGGCATAATTATTCCATGTGGTGCAGGCAGGATGCTGCAGAAAGAGCTGTCTTCTTTATGCATAAGAGGCTTTTATTGCAAGTGTTCTACACAGTAATTAAATTCCTTTGAATGAGAAAGCTTGATTGGATTTTCTTTGGTTTACAGGGAGGAGTCTGAAAAGCAAGGTAGTTATCTCAATTGCTATACAATTTTGACATCTGTTGAAGGCTAGGGAAAAAGGTTCAGAATGCCAGATTCCCATCTCCCTTCCCTTATGCTAGTGTTATATTAGCTGAACTCTGTTGAATTCAGCTGAATTACACTCTATTTGTATTTGTGTGGGAATAAAACTCAGAAACCCTTGGCAGAAAGCAGAAGGCTACCTGCATGCACTCTGCGAGAATCCGAATTATCTAAGGGAGAAAAATATAGTTAGAGGAATGTTACATGCAGTTACAAAGACAAATGCCCAAAAGTGAGAAAACTTCACATTCATGGCTGTCCTTCCAATGGGATAGTTGCCTTACAGTGAGTCCAGCTTCAGCCCAGAACAGGCCAAAGTTTTAAGAGGCAGCAGCAAGCAAATGAAAAGTCAGATAAGCATACAGCAGGAGTCTGTATTATGTATGGCTTGACACGTGGGCCAGGATGCTGGTGTGGCACAACTTTTGAGTATTTGAGTTGTCAAACCAAATCACATTTGTTTAATATCAACGATTACATGCAGCTGCAAAGGGATTTTTCAAAAGAAAATGTGAAGAACGTAAATTAAAAGGAAAAGACTATTACATACAACCTCAGCATATATTAGCAATGGGGTTTGGGGGTTTGGGTCTTATAGCATAAATTACTGTATAAATTCATCCTGTTACTGAGTGTCAGGAGATGTGTGGCACCATACAGGTGATTTCATTCTGCTCGGATGTAGCTGGAGCACTGTACACGCAATAAGGACAGTGGCAATTTCAGCAGCTCAGAGAAACATCACGAGGGAAAAGGGAGGCACTTGCCTAATCTGCGGTCTCCCTGTCTGCCTGATGCTGATGCTTTGTATCACCCAGCTGGAGTGGGAATCTCTAAGGCAGAGATAGCAGATAGCACGTATGTGTAGGGGCTGGATTCCTGAAGCTGCTCATCCTCACACTGTCCATTAGACCTTCGGCTTTGATAGTGTTCAGGAAGCACCATGAGACAAGTGAAACCTGCCTTTGCATTCCCACCCAGTGGGAGTGGGAAGTAGTGGGAGAGTACTGCCCTAACCTGATGCCCAACAGGTGGGTTGCATCAAGTCAAAACTTCCCTGTCATGATTCTACTGACTTCTGAGAGATTGTGCTCCCCTTTATTGTTTATTAATTCTCAGAAAAGATGCCTCCTGGGTCCAGCCTATCTGTGCCATCCAGCTGTCTGTACAGAAAGTTTGAAGTGAAGCTAAATGTTGGTTCCATTTTACTGATTCTTTCTTTTCTTGCTGAGCAGAAACAGTCATCCCCGAGGATTATCTGGATCCAGCTAATATGAAGCGGTACAGTGCAGATCCTACTGACTCTGCCTTCAGTTGTGTGGGCTCCGCGTATGCCATGCGCCAGAGTCCTGCAGATGGACATCCTGCTGGAGGCTCCTCTTCCTCCTGTGGCCATCGTCCTGCTCCGGTGTCCTCAGGGAGGTCTGCCTCTGCTGGCCCGCGGCACCACGCCTCCAGCCCAACAAGGAATGGGACCTATTCTGAAGGAAACACAAGTGGTAATATAATATCTTCCTTCTAGCAATGTGTGTTGCTATGCTGGTGCCGTGCTGGGGTCTGAAGTCATTGCTGAATTTCCAGGAAAGTTAGCAAGGTGCACTTGCACTGGCATGCACTCCACGCGTGCTTCCACTTAGAAGGAGAAATAATAACCTATGTAAACACAAAATCAATCTGTTCATCATTAAGCAAAATGGTGAATGTTTTCTAATGCTGTTATTAATTATGTAAACGTATGCATTATGTATAATCGAGTGGCAATCACAACTGCCATTATCAATTTACAGATATAAATATTAATACATAAGGCGTTCTTCCCCAAGATTGAGACTTCTTACAGGCAGGTTAATTGCATGAGAGCAGCTGTGTACAAAGTACCACAAAGAGCAAATTCAAATATTAGAGCCTATCAAACAATTTAGCAAAAGATTTTGCTTCCCAGATGTATAGCCAACCTTACCCCTTGAAATACAAACTGCAGCAAATTTTATTTGAAAAAGACTGACCAGAAACATATTTTTAGAAATCACCTGGCTCACTGCTCAAGGCTTTTTTATCCTTTAGGGAAGAAAAGTCAGTAGAAGTTTATCTGCAGATCCAAGAGATGCCACAGGAACCACTGTTTTCAATAACCCTTCCACTCCCCTCTCTTGGTATTTTTGTCCAGCTATCCTCATAGGATTTAAACTCACTGAGTTGACTGCTCTGCCCATTAAGGGCACTCTGCTGGTGCCAAGCCCTCTTAAAATGGGACTCTGCAAAAGATGGCTTCCCTCCAGGAAAGCTTTCCTGGCAGCTGAGATGAGAGGAGCAAGTGGGACTACAGGGGCAGCCTGGTGTAAGGCAGAGAAGGGCAGAGGATGGGGTAGACACTCACAGTATCAGGAGAGAACTAGCTGAATCACAGAATCACAGAATCACAGAATTGTAGGGGTTGGAAGGGACCTCCAGAGATCATAGGTTCCCTACACCAGGTCGCACAGGTAGACATCCAGGCAGGTCTTGAACATCTCCAGAGAAGGAGCTGAGATAGTGGCAAGCGTACTTTCTAATCCTGGACTGCATTTGCTCTTCTCCAGCTTTGTGCTGTATTCTGTTAGCCACGACTTCTTTCACCCCAGAAAAGACGGGTTCATCGAATGAGTTAGGTGATTCCCTGAACTTCTGCTAACTTTTTCTTTATTTGCATTTTTCAATTTCTCCATTAACGGGTCTTTATCAGTAGCCATTTGAATAGTGTCTTCAACCCTTACTAATTATTCAAACTTCATTTATGCATTTTTCATCTTGAAGGTAGATTTAACAAAGGAGTTGAATATCTCAGCCATTTTCAAGTCATTAATTTCTTCCCCTTCTTCATATATTAATGGAATCTACTGTCACTCCAGTTACTTTTTCCTCTTGATATATTTGCTGCAGTTTTGCTGGTTCCCCCTAACCTTTTTGTCCAGCATTGGCTTCTTACATTGCTTCTTGCATTTCCCCTGGAAACTGGAAGGGCTTCTGCAATGAGCCAAGATTTAACAATGTTGTTACTAGCTTGGTTTGAAAATCTTCATCATTCTGGATATTTCTTCGTAGTGTACAGGAAAATGTCAGAGCAGCTGAGACCGAAGTTGTGAAGTTCTGCCTTGCTGTGCATCTTGTCTCCAGCATGAGGCATGCCCCAGGGCAGAGCTGAGTGCAGGCACAGCAGTGCTTCCCCAGCACCCTCTCCACTTTCAGAAATTGGTGGCTGAAGGACTTTGAGCCAGAAGTGGTGAATTCATATTGAGTAACCAGTCGTAGGTTTTTCTCCCTTAAATTACCCAATGGCTTATTGAATACAGTGCACATTTTCAGCATTAATAATAATAATAATAATAATAATAACACCATGGTAAAGTTCCTGTGATTAAAATTGCATTATGTGGAGAAAAGCCTTTGTATAATGGATTTGAATCTATGTTCGGGAGCCTGGAGCTTAAAATCAGGGCTTAATCTTGCTCGGCTGTATTATTTTCTCTTCTGTGACTATGAACGTCCCTGTAATTTTGGCCAGTTCAGCCATAAGGGCTCCTAAAGCTGATGGTTAAGAAGAGAGCATCACAAAAAAAAAAAAAAAAAAAAAAATCATCTATTCTATCATCTATTGATAGCACTTATCTATAATTATTAACAGTGAGGGTATGCATGTGCAGGAGTAAGTACATCCATATAGAGATGAGTTTGTCATCAATGTCTCCAACAGGAGGATTAGCAATTGCCTGTATTCTAGGTGCTCTGTGCACCTCTGAACATCTGCCCCAGTGATTTGTGAACGTTTGTGCCACCACCATCCCCTTTCCCCTGAACTTCTTCACTGCCCTGGATCTGCTTTCTCTGAAGCAGAGGAGAGCAGTTGGCTCTTCCCTACGGCCATGATGTTTTCAGTGACTGAGACGTACAACACAGTGACAACCATGAAGTCAGGGTGCCCACAGATTTATTACAGCAACCCTTCCATCCTTAGGGAAACGGTGCTACTTCCAGGCAGACTGCTTTCATTTCCTTCTCCATTTGCCATAGTGTCAGTGCTGTAGCACATCTCTGTACTGCTGGAATTCCCATTGTGGATTTCTACAAAGTGCTGTTTGCTTCTCCTTAAAGGTAGAGACTCTATTTTTTCACAGCTATCCTATTTTTCATGTATTTTTCTCTTTATACTTTAATAGTAATCACAACCTTTTAAATATGTATCTTCCCACAAATGCTTCAGTGCAGCTACGCTGGAGTTTGATTACTGTCTTGGCAAAATCTCTCTCAAAGGTCTTAGGAATCCGTGCTCTCAACATGATGCTTGTGTGTATGCTTTTCCACTTCCTAGGGACAATTCATATGCTCCTGAATCATAAACGGGCAGAGATGAGTAATTGGTGCATACATGCATCTGTTTTAATCCTCCTCAGTTTGCTTACTTAAAGACAGGGATGGACAGGGCTCATTAAAAAGAGGAAGAATTTATCTCCAAAACCTCAGGCCAATCCATTTTATTAATTGATATATCAGAAAAATAGCATGCCTTATTTATCAGGGTGGGCAAACATCGTGGCAAAAATCATAACTGCAAAACATATCTCAGCACATAGCAGAACAAGCTTTTCAAGGGGAATGGATGAGATTAAAACCCAAAGCTCTCATTAATGCGATTGGAAGCATGATGCCTAATTCTCCATGACTATGCTAAAAATTTCCAAACAAACAAACAAACAAAAAAATCTCATTTCAGAAAGCCAGTTGGGGCTACTGAGAGATAAACATGCGCTTTGCTGTCATCATCTGCCAAATTGAAGCTCTTAAATCTGAGAAGGAATAGTCAAGGACATCATAAACCATAAACTTTTCCAAGCCTGCTTATATAAAGACAAACAAACCCTTTATCCCAAGTGTGAAGAATTGTGCGTTCAGCCACAACGTAACAGCCTCAACCTTGCCTATAGCCTGGGGACTTTATGCAGATTTTATTATCCAATATTAACAGTTAATTATTACCCCCTGAGGGTCTTTGTTAAAGAGACAGTCCCACTTGCTTAATACATTTTTTTCCTGACAGCATTTCAGGCACAGGGTTCGAAGGTTGTTTTTTCGCAGATGAATGCTGCAAGCAGCTTGCAGGGGAGCCAGGCTCAGCACCTCCTCCAGGCAATGGCAAGGGAATAGAAGCTCAGCCCTGGTCCCGCTGCTTCTGTGTGCACAGCTTGCCAGGTTTTGAGGGCACTTTCACAACCTGGAAGGTTTGACACCTGCACTGAGCTTTTCTTTTTCTTCTTCAAAAGAGAGACAAGGAAAGCCCCAGTAAGCATTTGCCACCAGTTTATGGCTGTATCTCAATCAGCAGGGCTGCTCTGGCAGTTGTGGCATCATGTCCCCATGCCACACAGTGGGTGCTGCCTGCTGTCTCAGGAAGCCTCTCCTGCAGAGCCCTCCTCCTGTCCTCACATGCAGTGGGAGGGCTTTTTAAAGAAGTGTTTCCTATCCCTCTGTACCATTGAGGTCCTGCTACTTAGGCTTACTTTCAGTGGATCTGCTGCTCCTCATTAACTGCTCCATTACGATCAGAGAGAGCCTTTTAAAATTTCGTTCCCACCCCTTTTCCCTGAGGCAAAGAAATCATTTAGGCCTGCAGCAATATTAAAGTTCATCTGTCACTTCCTTTCCACTCTTATCAATGGCCGCACTCCCTTGGGGCTCTGTTTGTTTGCCAAGAACATATTTAGGGAGTGCATTATTTATCTTCCCCTCTTTCACAGGTTTAACTCCACTTTAGCATTGCATTTTCTCACTGTGGTTCTGCAGCCACTCAGCTGTTGGCTTTCCCTCCCTTCACCCTCCTTCTCAGGAACATCTGGAGCCTCAAGTGGGCTCAGAAAAAAGCCTGAGGGGCAAGAGCTCCGCCACTGGCTCCTTTGCACCAACACTGTCTTGCCACTGGCTTTGTTGGGTGTTGGGTGCCAATCTCATACTTCCAGCCATCCCTGCAATGGTCTCAGCTGGGATGCCCCAAGAGCCTTCCCCTGCAGGGAGCTCCTTCCCCATCCTCTCCAGTGCCAACGCAGGCAGGAGGGGGAGTGCTTCCCTTTGATTACCTGAATTTCCATATCTCATTCCATTAATTTGACAATTTTTTTTTGCCACCTGTCAAAAACAGGAAATTGGATTTGACCTAGATTACGATCTCTAAAAATAATTATTGGTCCTGAGCACTCCCATCTCTTTGTAATCTGAGTATTCATTATCATCTTGATTAATTCTGATGACAGGATGGCATAGGATACCCAGGAGACATGAGACTTCCTCATTTATCTAATTCTTAGGTTAAATGTGAATACCTTCAGATAAGAAAAAATGTATAGTACTTGCCCTGCTGCCATCAAACACTTTTGTGCTTAATATAATCTTTTAGCAAAGCGATGCTATTGAAACAGAGAACTCGTGCCTTTGTGTAGGCATGAAATGATTTATTTTTTTCAGAAATAAAGAAATTGCACTTACATGAGTAAATTACAAAGTTAAGAAGTCAGAATAAATTAGGAAACAAAATACATTTTAAAAGATATGGAAAAACAGATTGCTTCCAACCTCACCAGCTATGAACTGCATTTGAGATGTCTGTGTGCAAACTGATGGTATCCCAGTTTTACTGACAGCATTTAAAAGTAGCCACTTACATGCAAGGAAAATATCACAATTCATGAAAAAGCAGCAGAGAATATAGGACATGAACCTAGGAATATATATAGATTTAAAATAGAGTTAATATCTATGCATAGTTTTTGTTTCTACGTGGTTCTACTGCGGGTGGGGTTTGACAGGATTACCTTCACTTGTTGGAGGCTGGAAGAGTTCTGGCCATGTGGATTCTTTAGAAAGGTCATTTTTATATTTCTCTAAAAAAATCAGATTTATGCTATTGTTTGCTAGACTGCAGAGCACTGAGTAGAGTTCACCCTGTCATTTCAACCTTTTCTTCTCACCCCACTTCCTTATATTACCAATATTTCTAATGCCCGCAGAGGCTCCCAGCTGCTCCCAGGGGCTTGCTACTTCCCTTTACCCTTTCCTGGCATTTCTGGAAGCAATGCATTTCTGGCAGAAGGGCATTTCTGGGCAGCAGTCACTTGGGTCCAGGGCTGCTCTCTTTTCGCCTGGTGTGAACCCCAGGCAAAGCCGTCTCAGATTTCCTTGCAGTCATGCAAATTTAAGGGGAAAAAATGTGATCCTCGGTAGTGGCACAACATGTTCCCTGACCACACTATTGCTGTGGCATTAAAACTTCTGCAACCTTACAGGCACTGAGTAGCCTTTCAGTCCTCTCTCTGTTTTTCCCCTTGCCCTCAGTTCGTGGTGCCCACACTCAGCTTGTGCTGCTGGCGTGTCAGACTGCAGCAGCCTCCTGCAGGTGCTGGCTCCTCCAGCTCCCAGGCAAGTCGAGGTTCTCTCACTCGTCCCTGACAAACTTGCTCAATATTACTGATGATCCAGGGGCTGGCTGAAATTGCCCCATACGTTTTGCACTCTTCATCTTCATCACTTTATGCCAAAGAGTCCAGATGGTGTCTGTACCACTGTGTATTGCATTTATTCTGCGAGCAGAGCCCAGGGTCGCATGAGTCCATATGAACACAAATCCTCGCTGTCTAATTAAGAGGACCTGCGGCTATTCCTTGTCCTTTATATCCAGAACAGTGACTTAGCAAATGAGAGTGTAATTATCATGATATTTACATCACATCCCATTATGAAGCCCATCGACCACATTCACACATTCATAGTGCTGCTGCTTTCTACAGTTCATCCTTTATAACTGCAAAATATACCTCATTACATTATACTGTGGGATGCGGATGCGGCAAGAAAAAAGGACCAATATGCACATAAAGCCATTATTGTGCATAGATGGGCAGACCCCCACTCACATAAATCAGCACAGTTCTATTGAAGTCATCAGAACAAGGATTTACATAAGCCACCAACCCCGCCCACTGCATTTGCTCATACGCATTATCATGTTTTGAGCCATGCGTGGTATTCTCACACATTTTATGAACTCAGAATTTCTCTGGAGGGATCAGCCCTTCTCTCCTCAGCAGCTTGAAGCCATTCTGGCTCCCCTACTTGCTACCTGGGGCCTCTCCAGGCTCCAGTTTAGCTATCCATGATCTCCCTCTGTTTGCACTCTTCTGCTTCCCTTTCTGTCTCCTGCAGTGCCTGCTTGCTTACCACCTACACCTCTCATTGAAAACTGAACCTTAGCAGAAACTGATGAGCAAGTCTTGGCAAGTAACATCACATCCATTTCTGTGCTGCTGCCTGCGAATATAAAGTTTGCATTGTGTGGATTTCCTGTAACCTAGCATAATACAGTACTTGGGATAGTGAAGCAACATAAGGGTATATGTATGTGTGCAAATTATATGCATCTAAGGCTAAGATTTATAATTCTGCAGAGACTAAGAATAAAAACATAAATGCACTTTCATTCTGATATGCCTTTATTCACTTGATTTAAAGCTACAGCAAGTCAAAGTGACCTTAAATCATCCAGGGCTTACACCATTAAAAAGTCACATGTGCAGTGTTCATCTCCATGTATTTTAGTAGATCTCCAAACAGGCATTCACTGGGGACCTTTAGCTTCACGTGAGCAGAACATTCACTAGGAACCCACCTCTAAGCTTCAAGAAAAGACTGAATGTCTGGATGCAAAGAAATAAAATATTTGCTGTATCCCAATTTTATCTCCTAGCCTTTGCATTTAATGGCAAGCTCCTTTGTTTCATGCCTCCAGGTGGGAGGGTTGTGTATTCTGGAGTCGAGATCCCCAATGTTTGCAGATCAGACAGCAGGGGCAGCTCAGTTTAAGAGGCTGGCAGCTGGCACATTGTTCCTTCCCCAGCAGGAACCTGAGGGTTTCATGTTTTTTAACACAATTCACCAGCTGGGATCATATCTCCTGGTAAGCAGTTGGATCCAAAACTGCCAAGTCCCTTCTCTCTCACCCCATCAGCTCAGGCTGATACACACAGATCCAACATCCAACACGTGGGGCTGCTGCACTGCTGCATGCCCACAAACCAAGGAAATCACTGCATGCTTTTGTAATGTGCTGTTGTGGGCTTTTTTGTATCGATAGCCTCAAGTCCTTCACCAGAACGACAAGACGTGGCTCGGCCATCAAGCAAGAATCCTTTGACCTGGACCGTGGATGATGTGATTTGGTTTGTGAAGGATGCAGACCCTCACGCTTTAGGTCCTCACGTGGAGCTCTTCAGAAAACACGTATGTAAAGGCTGCTCTTAGTGCTTCAAGGGGATTTAAGCCACCTGCAGGAGAGACAGCCAGCATACCACGTGCACCCTGTCTATGGCTGCTATAGGGAGTGCCTGTGCTCAGATGGTTTGAGCAAGGGGCCCTGCAAGGGGTTCACATCAAACGGGGGGCTAGGGTGAAGAAACATTCACTTATCCCTCAATAGTAAAACCCTAACAACATCTTTAGGAAATGCTCATTATTTCTTCTCACCATGCCAGCATAAATTGTTATGCTAAACCTAACAGAAATCATACAGGATCTGGTGTTTTTTTTTTCACTGTCAGATTGTGTGGCAAAAAAACCTTGCTTCAAACACTTCTTTTTTTTTTTCCAGGATACCTGTGATTCCTCTCCAAAGAGCTTTTTTAAAAATATAATATATATAATATACAATATATAATACATATTATATATATATATATAATTTTTAATATATATATCTGTGGACATTTAGCAGCAGAAGCCTGAAACAGCCAAATTTGTGGACTTTTAATATTATGTAACTACATAACCAAATTTAAAGGACCAGATGACTTCCTAGGGAATATGATAGCTGCCTTCATTAGGCCATCTCTTGTGAAGAAATCCTAATTAGTAGACTGTAAACAATATCTGATCAGGATTTTCTGGTTTTTGCTGGATCTGGTAGCACCACATATCACTACATCTTCAGCCTCATCCACCCTTCCTTGGCCAATTCAGAGCATGGGCCTCAATGGATGCTCACCACAGTCAGGGACTGAGACCATCTGACACCTGCAGGCAGGGCGATGGGATGAGGACAGAGCAGGCACAGCCATGCTAGGATCAAACCTTAGATTGCAGGCCAGGTGCTAGCTTTCTTTCTCTGCCTTCTGCAGAGGAGTCAGATGGCCCACGTTGGCCAAGTAGGTATCAGGAAGATAAATGAGGCACATGTAGACTTAAGGAAACTTGCTTTGGCGTGAATTTTTGAGACTTGTAGAAGAAGCTGTGCACCAGTAGAGAGGATTGCCTGGTCTGTGAAGTGCACACTCCCAGGTACACTGCCAGGAAGCATATTTAATCTTGGCTCATTGGGCCTGCTGCTCTGAAGCATGCCATGCTACAATACTGTCACTGCTCTGTGACCAAAGAGACCAAGTTAAATTGCCTCTGAAGACTGTTTCTGTCAGCCTTTGTCAAGCACCCAGCACCTCTACTCTAATACTAGGCTCTACTCATTATTGGTTTCCTTGTAAAATATGGTTTGAGAATAGGTTTGAGAACCTGGGTAAGATTACCACACAACTCAATTCAATTGTGCCTTGGAGTTATATATGCCCCTGCAATTTTTCAGCCTTCAAATCTCATCTGGATTAGCACAGAGACCCCAGGGGTGAGAGACAAGTGATTAGTCCATTAACCTTAGTCATATCTTCCTGTATATTCAATCTTTCTATGAAGCAGGTGCATAATTTACTGAGAAGCACTTACTGTCATTGACAAGGCCCAGTTGTCACCTGAAATTGTTGCTGTGGCAGTCAGCTCATCTGAGCTATGACACTGGGAGGGAGAAGATGATGGGGCCACGAGGAGGGAAGGCTGGGGAGGTATTCTGCATATTGACAGAACTCTTTCCCTTTGCTATATTGGTCCATGTGAGTGCTGATCACAGTGCCCAGAGCCATTCTCCTGGTTGTAGGGAGGTGTAGCCTGCACAGACCACAGCTTCAACACACGTCACAGGTTGTCCGTGACTCTCGCTCTGCTCTCCTCACCAGGAGCAGAAGCTTGAATCAACCACCAGGTACAATTCTTGTGCTGAAGGCACGGGACTTGATCAGTGCCCACTCAGAACACGTACAAGAAGCTGGCATGAGCTCAGCAGTACCCACTCTTGCAGTTGGAAGCTGTATGTTCATATTCCTTGTATCATTATCTTGCAGCTCATACATTTGCTGTCCCCATCTCTTGCAGGAAAACAGCAGCACTCTAACTTGCAGTGGGCCAGATCTCAACTAATGTGTGTGAAACAAGCTGATTGCATTGAATTTAACAGCTCCAGATCTGACTCAAGATCTTCTACTGCAAAATGGGGAGCCATGTTATAGAATCCCACATTTTATTATTATTTTTTTTTTTTTTAAGGGATGACAGTAACACTGGAGAGAAGCCAAGTCAACAATCTGTATAGGGATTTGGCTAATATTGGGGTATTTTGGACTGATTAAATATGAATTCTCCCTCTGGCGTGCTCTAGTCACGGAGTTTAATTTTGACCTCTACTCCACCATAATAGAGGAAATAATAGAATGTTGAACTCCACACTTAGAAACAGTTACATTCACACCAAATACCTTGACAGTGATTTTACCCAATGGCATCGCAGCTCCAGGAGTACGGTTTTTAAGCAAATATTAATTTAAATATGATATTTAATCTTCTTTTCTTTAGCTTCTTTAAAATAACGGGAAGGAGAGGAGGAGAGCAAAGAGAGTTTTTGTAATGGATGGAGTGGGGGTTGCAGAATGAAGAGCATCAATTGATTGAGTTAATCAGAAAGTGACCTTAACTGCTCATCAGCTAAATCACCTGCTGAATGGAATAATAATGATCAGGGCAAATTAGGATCCATAGTATTGCCTAATTAGTAGGTAATGGATCACAGAGGAAAAAAGCACTGTGAAAACCATCAAATAGAGTATATACAGCATTAGTGCTCCTGTGTGGATGCCTGCATTTATGCACTCATATTCATTAGTTATGTTTTAGCTCTCCAAGTAACAAAGTGAGGTGAAGACCAAGAGGAGAGTTGTTATTTTTAAGCAGTTCTCCTAATACAGTTGGGGAAAAAAAAAAAAAAAACAGGCGAGCTCAGAAACAGAAGTAGAGCATTGTATTTGGAAGCTTCTGTGCTTTACAGTCATAGGAGAACCCGCAGTGGAACAGCGTCCACCTCTTTGTACACCAGTGTTATTTGGTGCTTAACACAGCATTTTGTAGTTACAAAAGGTTTTTCAAGCCAAAGGTCTGGTATAAACAGATGAACTTGGTGGCAAATGAATTATGGTACTACTGCTTTCAATTTAAGAAATTAATTGCATGTATCACTGGGTGTAAGTGTACTGAGGATACACGAAATATGCAGATAGCCAGGAACAAAGCTGGACCTGAGATTCAGAGGTGTGCTATTAGCAGTTCATGAGGCCACATCCCTCCATCACTTGCTCCTTTCTCTTAAGATCAGTTTTCTCAGAACTGGGCTTAGAGCACGTCTGATGTTTAAAAAAAAATCCTCATGATTTTGCTGTCAAAGAATCAAAAACACTGACAAACCTTACGGTTCATTGAAGAATAAGTAGTAATATTTGATTAAAAGCTCCTTTAGAGTTTCCTTTTATCCTACTTCAGCTTTCAATTTCTTAATGAAATTTCAAAATTCATGACATTTCCATCTATGATGTGCCATTTCTGATTCACCCTAGGTAATGTGTCAGGATGCAGCACTGCCATCCTGCTTTTGTGGTGCTGGAAGCAGGGGGTTTACGTATTTTGATTCTCTTTCTCTCTTCTGAAATCAGGAGATTGATGGCAATGCTTTGTTGCTGCTGAAAAGTGACATGATCATGAAATACCTGGGGCTGAAACTGGGACCTGCGCTGAAACTGTGCTACCACATCGATAAGCTCAAGCAAGCCAAGTTCTAACAGCTTCCTGAACAACAGCAGAACCTAAATCTAGACAAAAAACTATAGGTAACATGCTGCCTTACAGAAATGCATTCTTTTGAAGATTGTTTTTCCCCTCTTTAACAAAGACTTTGTCTTTTTTAACATTTGTGCATCTTCGCAATTTTTTTAGTCCAATGGGAGCTTTTGGGCTGCTTTGTGTTAATAATTTGCCAAAAAGTGTATAATTACAGTAATTATTTTGTACCATTAATGTTATTATGATTATAGTAAGTCCTATTTTTGTAATCAGAAGGGGGAAATCAAAAGCAAACAGTGACTGCTGGCAGAAAGACCCTTGGCTGCCTGCCAGGAAGGGATGGGGTGGGACACAGCGCTGCCTGGGCTGACATGTTCAGAGTGTTTGGGGGAACGTGTGCCCTTTGGTTAGCCAACATTGAACAGGAGCCACCCTGTGTCTTGCACTAAAATCTGGAAAAGCTTAATTCTTCAGTTTGAAAGAAGAAAAAAAGGAAAAAAAAGGAAAAAATTAGAAGGAAAATTAAGAGAGGAAAAAAAGAATTTTATTTTATTTTAAGAAATAAAAAGGTGGAAAAGGTTTTTATAGCAGCTGAAGTACCTTTTCCCACTAGAGGGAGCAGCCCTAATAGACTTGAGGCTGGAGCTGTGACGACATGGTGCTTTCCATCTGATGAGCTCTGACCATCTGACTCTACTAACCAGCACATCTCTAAATACCCAGGAGGAATCGCAGGCTCCCAGCAGGACAAGCCGTCACCGGTTACAGTTAATTATTTCAAGAAAAGTCCCAATGCAGAAAGCGTTTCTGACAGGATGTTTCCTGTTAAGTTAAAGAGGGGGTGGATGGCTCCCACGGAGTCTGGCACGCTCAGCCATCATCTCCCCACCTTTCTGCCTGATGTATTGGTTCACAGCACTCAAAGAAAAGAAAAAAAAAAACCCACAGAATTTCTGGGTTTGCTCTTGTTTGGCAGGTGGGAATATTCCCCATGAGGAAGGCACACTGCTGTGCACTGCAGCAATGGTTAGGGCCAAGGAGGGTGCTGCATGGCCACTGCCTGGCTGCACTGCTGCAGAGGACGATGCACACTTGCTTTCAGCATATGTGCACGTTTTCAAGTAGACTCAAGGTAATGCTCCCTGACCTCTTACACAAATATGAGAGGTGCTCGTTGATATTCTATGTAGCCACACCAAGAGAAAGGCAAGTCAAAGGGTGAGGAAGTGATCTGTGGGGTAGGTATGCCCTCATCTTCATCCTTCACAAATGGAGGATTATGAAAGGACACATCCATACAGTTTTAAACATTTGGTGCATGACAAGGAGCGGTAGCAAACGTTTGTTGATCATGCGGGTTGTTTTGAAGCTCACCTCAAAAGAATTGGGTAACAGAGCTGTGATAATAGGCAAGATATGAGCATCCATTGCAGCTTTGGAATATAGCAGAATATTACAAAAAAATACCTCATGGAATGAAATTCATTTGGGTGCACATTGCTAGAATATAACTCCTATGAAAAGGTACCACTTCAAGGTCTAATCCTGAAAATCCTTGATCCAACCTGGCCTTGTGTGCCTCCAGGGATGGAACACCCACAGCTTCTCAGGGCAGCTGTGCCAGCACCTCACCGCCCTCTGAGTAAAGAGCTTCCTCCTAACAGCTAAGCTAAACCGTCCCTCTTTCAGTTCAAAGTCATTCCCCCTTGTTCTACCGCTATTAGGCCATCCATGGTATGACTAATGACATCCCACAAGACTTTCAGTAAACTCCTGGGAACTATCCCCAGACTAACAAAGTAGTCCATACATGTTTGCAGAGTTGGATCTTGACGTGACTGGATGGCTTTCTGCAGATCTTGTCTCCATGTTAATGCATTTATAAAATGAATAGCTGAAGTAAAGATGTTAAATGAAAAGTCACATGCTACCTAGGGACACAGCGTATTGAACCCTACACAGGCTGATTCTTAGAACATGTATTTTCACTGTATTTTCCTGGAGATTCTGTAAACTCACTTTTTGTTCGGAGACTGGAGAAAAAAAAAAAAAATTCAGTGCTACAGAATTTCCTGAAAAAGGAATCATTTCCTTTCAGCTCTACATCTCACCCTTTTCTTCCATCTCCACCCTGCAGAGATTGCAGCTGAGAAGACTGATAACACCACAGCAGTGGCAACAGTGTTCATACATTTAACATGCTGGAATAGTTTTCATGTATGTATCTAATGTATACAGTCAATGGTGCTATCTCATTTGATATGGAACTTTTAGGCATGGCAGGCTGTTCCAGCCATGATATTTAATGTGCCACCTTTTACAGAGGAGGCATTCAGTGACTTGGTTTTAAAAAAGTAAAGCTTACAAAAGAAACTCCATGCTGCATGTTTGGTTTTTTGGTGTGTTTGTATTTTTTCCCCCTCACCAAAAGGCAAACAGGAGATAATCATTATTGCAATTAGAACTAGTTCTTCCTCTCTTAAGTCTTGTCAGGGAGGTGGTTAAGACACCTGTGCTGTGTGGAGTGTGTCAGGCCAGGAGCAAGGCATGAAGAGTCACCTGCCTGGACATAACACTACAGTGTGATGGAAAACACAGCAATGACAGCAGGGTAGCAGAGTCCCAGGCTGCAGCAAGGACAGACAAGCTTAAGTGCAGCAGCTATAGACACAGAAACAAAAGGGGGTGGGGGGGGGGAAGGCTGCTTACCTTTGGAAGGCCTCAGCAATCTCCAGTAAGAAATCCCCATCTCCACTGCCAACCCTTAAATGAGGTCTGGGAGGGGGTATATTCTGGCTCCACCCCTTCCCATCACTCAGGTACATTGCATGCACCTGAGCTCATTTGGTTTGGTCCTACCTTCCACCAGGTGCTCAAGCACTATGGCTTAGCATTTCTGTTACACTATGTTAGCTGTTGTTCACATACTGCTGGTATAAATTGCTTAGTTTGCTATTCTGTTCCCAGCTCTCACTTCAGACTGCATCCAACCACTTGCATTTCTTAACTCTTCCAAACAGATGGGTGGATGTGTTTGTCCTTTGTGTGCAATGCATTTGCCTGTTCTCTGCTTTTAAATGCAGCTGCATTGGAAGGCACTTGGCTTGCTTTAGGCAGTTTCAATACTTCATGAGCCTTAGCTTTAAGAAAAACAAAAAAGCAGGTAAAGCCTGAAGATGTGGGGAGAGCTCTTCCATTGCTGAAGTGCCAGCTGCAAAGCATGAGAAGTAGCAGAACTGGTGGCTGTAGAGCAGCTTCTCCTGTTGCCCTCACACTGACTGTCATGACCCCATCTCCCACCCTGACAAATGCCCCCCTCCCAGTCCTAACTGGGTTCCCAAAAGTGCTCAAGGGAATGCTTCCACTGCTCTGAGCGCACTGTCTTGCTGGAGGAGCACAGTGCCCTTTGCAGCACTAGCAGCTCAGGCCACTGTGATTCATGCAGCCAGGCACCCTTGAGACAGGCTGCAAAACATCACTCTGGGTTGTTACTGCCCTGAAACAAATTGCTCAATTTCTACAGTTTGTCAGCAGTCTGTCAAGAGTCACACATCTTTCTTAAGAAAAAGCATGTTGGTTCATTCCTACATAGACTTGGTCTCCACTTCCCCCTGATCCTCTCTTCGTAGCTGGCATTATGGGGCTGCTGTGCTCACTTGCGCTGCATCTGTACCAACAGGCTTGGGGTTGCTAGGAAAATAGTTCACAATAAGCACTTTGGGGGCAAAAATCTTGGGAAATTGCAGGTCAGCAAAAGCCTCTCTTTTCTTCCAACATCTCTGTGTGCAGAACCTTAGCATGACAGCTGCAGAGCTGGTCCCAGGCACTGCTACCCATAACTGGTTGGATGGAGTCGTGTGGGTTTTCTTTTCTCACCAAGAAATGGAATCCTGAATCTGCACCCTCTCACCAAAGAAAGTGGGCAGATCCCTGCACACGTCGCCTTGGTCCTTGCGATAGCTGCATGCTGCCTTCCAATCCACTCTCCCTTCATGGACAATTGGAAACTGATTCCCCTGGAAATCTAAAATTTTGCTTGAGAAAAAATCACTTTTATTCACTGCCATGAGTTAAATATTATGGAAACATGTCTGCTAACAATTTGCTTTGTGTAATTTGTACTAATGCTAATAAGCAACAGCTGCAATGCTTCCTGCTGTAAATTCTTTTGTGGTTGCAGTGGTATTATCACATATGTACTTCACAAATATGATAGACTCAAGCACAGCTCTCTCCTTCTGGCTCTGGCTCCAGCAATTCCCCCTCCTCAGCACACAGCAAAGCGGACGTGAACTTACAGCCTCTGTTTCCTTTTGTCCAAGCTCCCCACCAGGTGCCTGTGGCCAATGGGGGTGGGGGGAAGAGGGTGCATGCACGGGGATGTCCCCCAGCAGCTGTGTTTACTGAGGTTTGGGCATAGAGGTTCTGCTCAGAGGCTGAGTGCAGAAGAAATAAGATTCACTCAAGAAACAGAAAGAAAAAATTGTGTGCAATGCTCTGCCACCATAAGGCTTCAGCTGAAACCCAAGAATCTTTCAACTGTAATCTTAAGAAAAATATTTCCCTCGCTCACAATGTCAAATACAGCACGTTAGGCCAAACCCAGGTCCCACTGAGGTCCACGTAAGTTTTTCTATTGAATTCATAAGACCGGAGCTTGGCTAAAAAAGCAGGTCAAGCCTCAGCCATGTCCCACAGTAACTAGAGCCTAACACGCAATCCCAGCCCCCTCACAGAGAGCAGAGACAACCACTGCTGGCCGGCCCCATGCCTCTGCCCCCAGGAGGGCTGCTGGTTCCTGGTAGAGAGCTCTTCCAGCCACGCATCTACCTGACCCCAACACTTTCTCCTGTTTGTTTGGTGTTGTAGCTGTAGGCTCTGTGGAAGGCAGTTTGCATTTTCCACTTAGCAGCAAACCAAAGCGCTGAGGATTTTCAGTCGTGCTGCTCAGCAGAAACTTGCCCTAATCTCAACATGACTTCACTGAGAGATTTCCACA